GGTAATTGAGTGATAAGGGCTTTGACCACAGGAATAGATTAATCCATTCTGAGTTAGTGGATTAGTGAGTTAATGGATTCGTGGGTGATTATGGGAGTGGGACTAGTGGCTTTATAAGAAGAGAAAGAGAGACCTGAGCTAGCATGTTAGCACACTCTTAGCCTCTGGCCATGTGATGACCTGCACTGTCTTGGGACTCTGCAGAGAGTCCTTACAAACAAGAGGACCCTCATCAGATGCAACTCCTTGACCTTGAACTTCTCAGAACCCATAACTATAAGAGATACATACAGATAAACAAGTGGGACTATATCCAGTTAAAAAGTTTTCATACAGCAATCAACAAAATAAAAAAAGGCAACTTATAAGATAGTTGCAAACCATATGTCTTGTAAGAAATCAATAGCCAAAATATGTAAGGAACACACACAACTCAGTAGCAAAAAACAAACAAAACAAACACACACACACACACACACACACAAATAGCCCAGTTGAAAAGTAGGCAAAGGACTAAACAGACATTTTTCCAAAGAAGATGTACAAACATAAAGGTGTGAATATCACTAATCATCAGAAGAAAAAAAACTCAAAAAGTCAAAACCACAATGAGATGTTATCTCACACACATTAAGGTGGCTATTATCAAAAAGAAAGAGATAAGTGTTGATGAGGATGTAGAGAAAAGAGAACTCTTGTACGCAGTTGGTGTGAATGTAAATTAGTATAACAATTATGAAAAACACCATAGATGTTCCAAAATATTAAAAAATAAAACTACCATCTGATTCAGCAGTTCCACTACTGGGTATATATCTGAAGAAAGTGAAATTAGTATATAAAAGAAATATCTGTACTCCCATGTGTACTGCAGCATTACTCACAAGAGCCAAAACATGAAAACAACATAAGTTAAGTGACTATTGATGAATGGATGGATAAAAAAATGGTTGCATATATACAATGGAGTATTATTTGGTCATACAAAAGGAAACCCTACCATTTGAAACAACATAGATAAAACTGGCAAACATTAAGCTAAGTGAATGAACCCAGGCACAGGGAGACAAATATTTCATGATCTCACTTATACGTAGAATCTAAAAAACCTGAACTCCAAAAAGCAGACAGTAAAACAGTGCTTGCCAGGGTGTGAAGAGGGTATGGGGGGAAATGGAGAGATGTTGGTCAAAGGGTACCAAGCTGCATTTACAAGATGAATCAATTCTTGGAATCTAATGATACAGTATGGTCACTATAGTTAATAATGCTCTATTGTATGACCAGCATTTGCTAATCTTATGTTATCACCACAAAACAAAGAAAAAATAACTCTGTGAGGAGATGGATATGCTAAATAATTTGATTCTGATAATCATTTCACAATGCAAATGCATATCAAATCATTACATTGCACGCCTTAAATATACACATTTTTATTTGTCAATTATGCCTCAATATCACTCAGGGGAAAAAGCTGGTGAACTAATAAAAACAACTCAAAGCTTCCCTCATCTAAAATACTGAAGACTTTCAGACATTCTGGGTAGGACAGTGTCATGGAACTTGGCCACAGGAATCAGACTTCTGGGTAAAAGCCTGACTTGACCATTGTTCTCCTCTGTGCCATGGCATTTGTCACCTGTGAAACAGAGATCACAATGAAATCTACATGGAGGATAGTTGTGAGTACTGAACTGACTGACGTATGGTAAGGACTGGGAGTGGTGAGAGCTATGAGTAGTGCTCAGTGTATTGCTCTTGTGATTTTGTTGTGTGCTGGTAAGTATCAGCTGTTCGGAGAAGTAATGTAATCCCGAGGCACACGAGCCAATCATTCAGGGAGATGCCTGTGACATTTCTATGTGTATGTGAGAGAATTCAAGGTTTCAAACCTCGCAGTACAATTTTTCTTTTGGGTATACTTGATGATTTTCCTTTTATAAAATAAAAGGAAATTTTGAAGGAAGCCATATGAAAAAGAATGTTCATGGAAAAAGGTTATAATTGCTTCTAGGCCATGACAGTGAACACATAGGACATAAGTCTAGTTTTAGAAGGAGGAAAATAAATCATGCCTTTTTGTTGATATTTTCAATATAAATACAAATTACAGGCTTTCTCCTTAACTTTCTAAATTTTGCATTTGTCTACTCATATGACAAAATTTTAATAACATGAACATAATTACTTTAAGGTTTTATTCTAATATATGTATATATTTTATAAGTTTGTGTGTATATATTTAATCTATATTTGTATATACAGATATATATTACTACGTCCATCTATGCATCCATATCCTACTACTTATGTATATACATATATTCTTCAATTCTTTATATATCCATCTCTCCCTCTGTATATGACTCTAACTCTGCATATATTCAACTATATGTAACTACTCTACATATCCTACGATATATGTATATATCATACACATGGTTAGTATTATTATACACATATGTACATATATAGCAAAATAATATCAATATAATCATAAATGACAAATGTTAATTATTAATTAGTATCATAGTTTGTAATTACAGAGTAATTTGCATCTTCCATGTCAGTTCTTTAAGAATAGTGTTTGTGTCTATTTTTGTCAACTATGGGTCAGGGTTCTGGCAAAGTGAATACCTATACTTATTAATAGAAATATTTATTTCTCATAAATTTATCCTGCAGTGGTTTGCAATTCTTGTTCCATTTTAGAATCACCTGGAAAGCTTTTATTTATTCACTTTATTAACAACCTTGCTTGCATCCCATCCAAGTCAATTAATTTGCAGTATCTGGGAAACGGGCTCCCTGTAAAGCTCTTCAGGTGATTCAAATGTGCAACCCTGGGAGGAGAAGGAGTGTTTAACTCCCACTTAGGCAGTGGTTGGGTCTCAGTGAATGAAAAGGAGGATGTCAGCACCTTGGAAGATGCGCTAGAGGGAGAGTTCTAGGCCAGTGCATCCCAACTGCATGACTGTATCTTCGACTTGGACTTCCGGATGCAGACGAGTTGAGAGAGAGAAACGAACCTCTCTGCACACACACATGTTAGCCTTAGACTCGGCACCCAGATTCCCCAATGAGTAGGACAATTATCATTGATGGGAGCGGAGACACCTATCCTCAGTCCATATCTGTCTATGAGGGAGAGAGCTGGCCTGTGATCAGACCCACAGCTTCCTGTGAAACTGCCGAGGTGCTACTATGCAGTAATGGGTGAGATTGAGATAAACCCTGTCTCTGGGAGTCTTATTGGGGACTGGATTAAAATTCGCCAACCTGTGTTTCTTCGTGAAATAAAAAGTGAGCCTCCTTGTTCAGTTCTGTTCTCTACCCTGCAATACGAAAGATATTTTGGATATGCAAGTCTAGCCATAGTTGGCACATGATGCGGCGAGGCAGGCATTATTGTGCCCCTCTACAGATAAACAATCTGAGGTTGAGAGAGGGAAGCAACTTGCAGACACTCACGGATTAGCTTCTTGATCTCTCTTCTATCTACTGCATCCTTCATCCACCTATACGAGTGAATTAATTTGCCAATGTGGTGCATATAAGCATGAACTTTTAATTCGGATGACTTAGGCTTGAATGCGAGCATTTTCCCTTTCTAGCACCGTGGTCTTGGAAAACTTGTGCAACTTCTTTGAACCTCACAAACCCCACCAGAAGGTAAATGACAATAATGTTTACTTTACAACAGCTTTGTGAGGACTAAATACCACAATAAAGGTAAAATGGTTAACAAAGTTTTTGGCACAGAATATTCAGCAAAGGAAAATATTAGTGCAAAATTGTTATTGATATAGTCCTGCTGAGCCTTTGGCCTTCCTTTTCTTTTAGAATAACATTCTTAAACAGTTTTCTTAACAAAGCAGTGGTGCTTGCTAACTTTGAAATTACTAATCCTATTTAAGTAGAAAACCAGTGAAATGTAGTATAAAATGAACAGCAAACACACAGGGAATAACTACAAATCAATCTCACTATTAACGAAGATTCAACATTACAAATTTAAGTGGTAACAAGTTAAATCATTTAGTATGTAAAAAATATCAATAATACAACAGTCAATTAGAACTTATTCTAGGATGCAATGATGGCTCCACATTGGAAAATCTACAAATGTTGTTTGACTAATATATCAATGGTAAATACAATCAAGAGTAATTGGTATAAACTCTAATGGATGAGTGAATCTTGAAGTTGCACATATATTTTTTCATGACCTCGAACCTAGAAAGTGATATTTATCATAATATTTATATTTATAATATTTATCAGATACTCAAATATTATCAGATCTATAAAAAGTCTTTAAAATTGAAATAATTCAGATCTCTCTCAGTATCTATCTGCCTATACCTTATAAAAGTCATCATTCAAATCTGATTAACACATATCTGTTTAGATAGCCAACCTCATATTTGTTAAAGGTATGTCACATAAGAGATAGTTAAGTGTGTCTAGTCGTCTTTTTATCATATGTTGTAAAGGTATGCATCAGACACTTAACTACAGTTATCCCTAGCTGGTAGAATAACAGATTATTTGTATTTTCTTACTTTTAATTAATAATATTGTAGACATTTAAAAAATTAGTAGTATTAATTTTATAATGAAGTTAAAGTTCTTTAAAAATATTTAATATACTTCATTCTTCTTTATATATTGTCATAATCATACATTTTGGTAGCTATTTATGTAAGATACATGAAATATTAAAATAAAGCAAATGATTTTAAAAGAATAGTTTTGACAAATGTCTCTTATGGTAATCAAAAAAGGATACTGTGGGTTGGGAGAACAAAAGTCAGCATATTTTGAATATGTGCTATGCGATGTTTACATTAGATTTTGACAATGCTACTCCCAAATCATCTTCTAAACACTGCCAAGAGACATGATCCCAGTGTATGAAAGCGTTCACGTTCTTCCATCTACCCACTGTATGGCTGCTTAGCACCTGGCTTTAGGATTTCAGTCACCCTACTTACCAACTCTCCAGTTGAGTTGAGCTGGACTGTGACTTCCAGTGAGGTCTGAGGAACTGGAAAAAGCCATTGGAGACAGCAGGGACGCTAGTGGGTCATCACAGTTGTCTAAAATTATGGGGGGGGGGAAGAGAGAGAGAGACATCAGATGCTATTGACAAGAAATATTTCTTGAAGAGAGAAGTCATGACATTAACTATAATCATTTATTAGCCTAACCACATGCTCTGAACAAGGTCAGGTACTAATGGTTTTTGCGTGCTATGGCATCTACTCCTTACAACAACTCCTATAGGACAGATTTAACTTTCTTTTACAAAGAGAGAAAAATGAAATTCCGATTCAGTAGTTGTCTAAAGTCACAGCATAAAAACGGCATAGCCAAAATTCTTACCAAGGTTTGTCTAACTCAAGCCTAGCTTCCCATCTATTTTATTACTCAATCACCCGAGAAAATCCTCAAATCTAATGCTATTGTTTTTATCTACAAGGAGGCAGATTTCTAAAAGGGAAAACATTGTTCAACTACTCTCCCATCTTTCGTTCCCAAGGGCCCCTTTAATAATTGTACCTAGCGAAATAGAAAATATGGAATGTCTACTCCCAGTTGTGTGATAGCCTTTGGAAAAAAAGTTTCTTATTCTAATAACTCATTTCTTTCCCATGAAGCAACAGTTAGTAGTCCCAGATCTTGTACAATTTTGAATTTGATATTCACATCAATAACTACCCTTCCAGCCTTTCCTAAATATGGTAAGTATGCTTTCTAAATCTTTTTCTTTTTTTGTTGCTGTCCAAATGTAAATGTAGAACAGTGTGGGGCCGTGGGCATAGAATCCTGGTTTTGACAACATAGATACGTCCCTTCAGGTTGACCATTTAACCTCAAGGAGAGGACCTACCGTTCACTCTTAGCATATTGGTGCTATGGTTTGAATGTTTAGCCCCTCTAAACTCATGTTGAGATTTCACTGTCACTGCAACAATAGTAAGAGGTAGGAACCCTTAAGAGATGATCAGGTTATTAGGGCTGAGCCCTCACTGTGATGGGTTTAAGGCCTTAATAAAAGAGCTTTCAGAAATGGGCTGCTTCTTGTCCCTCATCCTCTTGACGTCCACCATGTGATGATGTAGCAAGAAGTAGCTCATTAGATGCCAGCACCTTAATATGAGACGTGTCAGCCTTCAGAACTGTGAGCCAATAGATTTCTCTCCCTTGAATATTAATTACATAGTCTCAGGTATTCTTTACAACAGCACAAAACGAACTAAGACAATTGGTCATCTCGATGTTCTAGGATAATTCATTTAGCTGTTTGTATCTTCTACTAGGTGGCACACTCTTGGTGGGACCCTAGCACAGAATCTGGTACATGACAGGCCTTCAATAAAGATTTGAAAGAATGGTATGGATAGCATGGGAAGGAAGAAAGGAAAGAAGGGGAAAAGGATCAATTGATTAATCAATCAGTCAGTCAGTATGATAGTACCAACATCCTTTTCCTTTTCCTTTGCTTTGTACACAATTAATATTGCAGGACACTGAAAAACGACTCCACGAAATCTAGACACGCCTCATTCAAAACAAATTTGAAAGGTGTCATTCCGTTTGAAGGTAAACGTCATGGTGGTAAAGACTCCCAAGAAGAATGGATTAGACTCTTTTCTAACAGAATGTTACATAGGATTATGCTTGTTTATTCAGGAAATTCTCAGAGAGCAGTATTCCAACTAATTGCAGAAAAATTAATTAGAACCATAAGGATTACATTCTTGCATGTTAAGTGTGTTAAAAAATCAACTGGCAACATGTATTTTGAGTGTTTCCCAAACACAAATGTTGAAAAATATTTTGAGGTATTTGACAAATACAAAACAGAGCCAAATCCTCACTGAAGAGAAAAAACAAAAACCACAGCAATGGATCCTTAGCAGCTACAGACATTCTTCTCATGAAAATCAGACCTCAGTGCCAGTATACTCCTGGCAGAAGATGAGAGAAGGTACATACACACCTCAAAGCATTTGTTTTAAGATGCAAATTTGTGACACCATTTATATATTAGGAAACAATTTGAACTTAACGCAGATCTTACATTTTCTGATGCTTGTTTTGTCAAAAAGCAACATCAGATTAATGCAGAAAAATGAGCCACACAGGAATACACAAAGCACACACACACCCCCCTTAAACATTAATATCTAAATTCACAGCTATGATATGAGACACACCCATCTACTCTGTAGTTGTAATTATGCTTCTGTTTCAGATAACACTCTTTTCACTACTTCACAAGAAATCAAAACTCTACAGACACCCACTTCCACAAGCAAGTTACAGATCTTTTAAGGTAAAGTACCACATTCATTATACACAGCACTTATGTATTTCTTACACATCTAACATGCATGAAACAGAGTAACCATTTTGATTACGCTCTTACAGTCTTTTACATGACTCTGATAACATTTTTTTGGCATTGTGCCCTGAACCTATTTTTCCCCTAAGTCTTTTCTTATAAGGGTTTTAAAAATTATTATGTGATTAGCAAGATATTTTTACAAATACATCTATTGTGTTATAGCAGAATTGACTGAACCCTGTAGATGTTTCAAGTCAACTCAAGAAACACACATCACCCAAGAAACAACTTTGGGATTGAATGTTTCTCTTATTATAGTAGTCCTTAGGTAAAATGTAACTTGTTAAAGTGATCATGAAATAGACGTAGAAGAGGCCTAATCATTTCCATTCAATTCAGTCTGACAAATGTCTATAAGGTCACACGTGGGGCTTATTCTCAGAGAGGCTTTAGGGATAGATTTGAGTAAAATAGAACCTCAGGCCCAAGGAGCTCACAGGGCATTGAAAAACACAGGGATGTAGACAAATAAACTGATAGGGAAGTCTAAAAGATTTTTACCAAGGTTACTCCAGGCCAGTGTAATTGGAACCTATCTGTCCAGACTTCCAGACAAGTGGTATTTTCTCTCTCTCCAGCCCTGTGTAGTCCTCTCCTTCACACGGCATTAACCTTGGAGGGAATTCAGCTTCCAGGGCCCATTGGCCTGAGGTGGCAGCTGTCTCATTCCCTATTGCGGTTTATCTCTAAATGGTGTTGGCCTCACATCTCAGTTTCTGGGGACAATGGTTCCACTTTGAAAATTAACAAATTTATAAAAACCAGCTATGCTAATGGAAAGATCCAGAGGAGATTTTTCAGGACTCCTTTATTCACAGTCCCTGTGCAGTTGAACAATAGCTTTTGGAGAACATAACTGAATTTTTGATCTCCTATCCTTGACAGTGATAAGAATGGGGAACAATTCAAATCAGAAAGGAAAAAAGGCCTCCCAGAGCAGAAAGATCATTCTCTCTGTCACCTCTGTGTTGAGAGGGTAACCCTGACAATCTTGCCTAAATTGAGAATAAACCCGGCTTCTTATCAAACTACCCCTAGTCATTGGAAATTAAGGGTTTCTTCCTAGAACCATTCTAAATTTAAGTATATTATTTTAAACGTGTCCTATTCTTAAAGCAGAGGAGGAGGAATGATCTAGCATAAATGAGAACAATAATTAGTTTCTGTTTGTTGTTTTGTGATTTGGGACAGCCTGTAGAGCTAGGAGATTCCAATTCCTAGATTTGTTTCTTCTCTTGACTCAGTGACTCCAGGCAATATATTCAACTATGCGAAATTTATTTTCACTGACTGCAAAATAAGGCTATCTCTGCCATATACAGCTATAGAATCATTTCAAAGAGAGAATAAGAATAGATGGATGTACCCTTTTAATAAAGCATAAAGCTTAGAATAAGAACAGGAAGCGGTATAAGAATTGCCGGTAGTACCTGCTGCAATTAGAGCAACCAGTGAAACAATTTTATTTGTAGGATCTCTACTCGGTTAGAAAACCTGCCCAATAATTGGTGTCACGGGTAACTTTTTAGTTTTAAAGGTTTACAATCCGTCAGATGAACAGCAGAAGATGAAGAGGAGGGGAAACGAAGAGGGTGGAGACACACGTGAGTGAGGATGGCATGGTACCCCTGTTCTGCCCTCTGCCAGTTTGCGTCTTTTGGAGACTGGGCCTTTTGGAGTTTGGGTCTTTCTTTTGGAGAATGGGTCTTTCTTTGGGACACTGGGCCTTTTGGAGTTTGGGTCTTTCTTTGGGACACTGGGCCTTTTGGAGACTGGGCCTTTCTTTTGGAGACTTCGCCTTTTGGAGTTTGGGTCTTTCTTTTGGAGACTTGGCCTTTTGGAGTTTGGGTTTTTCTTTTGGAGAATGGGCTTTCTGGAGACTTGGCCTTTTGGAGACTGGGTCTTTCTTTTGGAGAATGAGTCTTTCTTTGGGACACTGGGTCTTTTGGAGTTTGGGTCTTTCTTTTGGAGACTTGGCCTTTTGGAGTTTGGGTCTTTCTTTGGGACACTGGGCCTTTTGGAGACTGGGCCTTTCTTTTGGAGACTTCGCCTTTTGGAGTTTGGGTCTTTCTTTTGGAGACTTGGCCTTTTGGAGTTTGGGTTTTTCTTTTGGAGAATGAGTCTTTCTTTGGGACACTGGGTCTTTTGGAGTTTGGGTCTTTCTTTTGGAGACTGGGCCTTTTGGAGACTTGACCTTTTGGAGTCTGGGTCTTTCTTTTAGAGACTTCGCCTTTTGGAGTTTGGGTTTTTCTTTGGGACACTGAGCCTTTTAGACTGGGCCTTTCTTTTGGAGACTTCGCCTTTTGGAGTTTGGGTCTTTCTTTTGGAGACTGGGCTTTTGGAGTTTGGGTCTTTCTTTGGGACACTGGGCCTTTTAGACCGGGCCTTTCTTTTGGAGAATGGGCTTTCTGGAGACTGGGCCTTTTGGAGGCTGGGCCTTTCTTTGGAGACGGGGCCAGCAACGCCCCCACACGCGGTCGGAAGCAACGCAGGCCGGGCCAGGCCACCGGTCCCACCGGTCCCACGCAGGTCTGCGTGGACAGACGTCACCTCTGCTCAGCGAGGAAACGCGGAAGGGCCAAGGCGCCAGGCCCAGCCGACGCCGGCTGAAGTCCCAGGGGGAAGCGCTCGGGGACCGCGAGCCCCTCCCGCGCGCACTTCCCGCGGGCCGCCCCCCGAGGCGGGCCATCGCGACCTTCCCAGGAATCCCGAGCGAGAAGGGTAAGAGCCCGCGCCCCCCGCCGACCGAGCCGACCCCTCTTGGGCAAGGGCACCCTCGGACGCCGAGCTCCTGACCACGAGGCCGGGGCTGGGGGTCACACAGCCCCCCGCGCCCCGCTCTCCAGAAGCCGCCCGGCGGGACACCGGCTCGGCCGCGGACGCCCTGCGGCCACCTCCGCTGCGCGCCCCCGGGGCAGTCGTGGCCAAGCCGCCCCCCAGCCCTCCGGAAGAGCGGCCAGCGAGGCGGGGGGAGACCGGAAGTCCCGCCCTCGGGCCCGCACAGCGGCCGTGCGGCGGCCCGGGAGCGCCGTGGCGCATGCGCACGGTGTCTCCGCTCGTGGGCGCCCGGGGCCCCGCCCGCAGCTCGGAGGGAGACGCGTCCCGCCGCCCCGCGAAGCCTCCGGTTCTGCCCCTTCTTGCGCCTCCGCCGAGGTCGGCTTGTGCCCACGCGTGGAATAGTTTCGACATCAGCTCTCCGGAAGCCCCTTTGCAGACCTTTTCTCTAAAAAAACAAAAGTCGTAGCAAAATTCAGATTCAATTCAAAGGCCCTTTGAAAAATGCACGCCTTTATTCCTATGTGATTTAAGATCCTCCATTTTCCTCCACAAATTACTTCCACCTGGACTGCTTTTCTTCATAGCGTTTTCCTTTATTTCTATGTGGGGTATGGGAGGCGCCGTTACCTGTTCTCCCCATCTCTCCATGGAGAAACCTGAAGCACTTCAGATCTTTCCATGCCGTCGCTGTTTCAATACCCCCAGTTTTATCTGCATGTGACTTACCCTTCCTTACATTCACAGCCTGAGAGGATTTCAGAACCAGAAGAAACCTCTGAAATTGTGAGATCCCGGTCCTTCGTTTTACAAATGAGGGTATGGGGCTTAGGGGAATGGCAGGACTGCCCAGCATCATTCGGTTAATTATTGGGCCGCCCTGGACCAAAACTCAGGTTCCCTCACTGTTTGCAAATACCCGCCAGGCCAGTTCCCTGCCATCTCTGAAGAGAGCGGGTAACCATTAGTTATGTTATATGCATAGCAATTGTTTTAATGGATGTGTTTTTTCCTACAAAAGGAATGGCTTGGTTTTATTTCCTGGACAACGGAAAAACATTGATAGAAAATAGTCTGCATCTTTCAGAAGAATTTGAATTTCTATTTTTCTCACCTTCCCTATGTCTTTCTTCAACAATCTCATACCCATCTACCCCCACAAAGGAAAAAAAAAAGTTGAGTAAACAAAACAGGACAATAGAAAAAAGTAAAAAGCGAAAAATAAATACAAATAAAGCATTCATTTCCTAGTTAGTGTTTTCATAGACAAGCATTTTGTTTGATACTTCCAATCTAAAGAAGTGGGAATAATTTGTTCTTCAACATACATGTACAGTTATGTACCAAAAGTCTTCTTTCACATTAATTCAAGGTAAGGCACAAAGAGAATTCTGAGTAAATATGATATTTACACAGCTTCTTAGAAATTATCATTGACTCTTTAAGATGATTCTACTTTAACATGTTTTGTTGCCAACACATATTTTTATTCATTATTATTAAAATACCAATAGAGTTACAGATGGTGCTGAAGTTAAATTGTGTGCAGCGTCTTGATTACCACAGTAAATCGTCTGTAGATGGGGATTTGGAGCTTAAAAGATTCACTTGTATTTATAGGTGAGATAAAATTCCTCTTAGCCTTGCACTATTAATGGCTTACTTTGTTTAAAGGATATAAAGCATGCATTTTGTGGAGTGCCTACAACAGTGCTTAGAAGTGACAACTCATGCTTTTAGCTTCATCTGTTTGTCCTCTTGTTACCAATCATTTCACTTAGCAAACAACAAAAATAAATACTACAAGATGACTCTTGAATCTGACCCCATCCCCCTCCTTTACCACGAAATCCTAAAAGATAAATTACTTTATAACGAGCAGACCAAATACATAGCTTTCTAAAATGAGTCATGAAAAGAAGGTCAAACTTTCTCAGTCCTGACACTGTTTCCAAATTAATGTAGTAGATGCTTTTGGATCGCCTGCCACATACTTAGGGTGCTAAATACTCTTTGGTATGGGAAAATGAATAAAGTTAGAGACATGGACCTCTGCGCTCCAAAAGCTAAGCATCTACTTTGTTTTTGTTGTTGTTGTTGTTTTGAGTTGGAGTCTCACTCTGTCGCCCAGACTGGAGTGCAGTGGCTGCTCCGGCCACCGCAGCCTCCACCTGCTGGGCTCCAGCAATCCTTCCACCTCAGTCTTCAGAGTAGCTGGAACTACTGGCGCGCGCTACCACGCCCGGCTAATTTTTTGATTTATTGTAGAGATGAGGTCTCGCCTGCCCAGGGTCTCAAACCCACGGGCTCAGGCAATCCACTCACTTCAGCCTCCCAAGGCGCGGGATTACAGGCTGAGCCACCGAGCCTGGCAGCTTCTACTTTGGATTGAAAGATAATGTGTATGTTTTTAGAAGAAACCCCTTTTGCTAATGAAAAATTGCATGCAAAAAAACCATGGACCTGGGACCCAGGAGTCCTGAGCCCTCTTCTGCCTACACTATTAATATGTGCTTCTTTTACTTTTCTGTATTACAGATTCCTCAACTTTAAGATTGCAGGAGTTGTTCATTTGTTCTATCTAGACACTATAACTGAGCACACACTCGGTGTCTGAATTTTTGTCAGGCTTCAGAGAAAACGAAAGCAATTATTGCAAATTCCTCAAACGTGGTGGAGATGAACACAACACCACCCTCTACACTGTAATAACAACTGATGATAAATAGATAGGGCTATAGCAAGAATATTCAGACGATGGATTAATCCTGTCCTGGTATTAACAAGAAGACTCTGGGATTCTTTTCGGGCTTTTAAAGCAACTATATTCAAGATTTTAGAAAAGACTGAATTTGGAGTAATTAACCTTCACTTATAAGTAGCTTGCCAGAATGACATCATAATTAAACCCAATTATCATAGCACCAAGGTAGCAGAATGAGGCCTAATTCTTTGGGAGCCTCTTGGTGAAGTTCTATAAACTGTGAGCCATCACTGCAGCAATTGCAAGAGAGTTCATCATCTGTAATTATTTTTAATGTCATTTTATTGTATTTTTATAAGTTTATTTTACTATAGAGATGTGGGGTACATGTCAGGATTAGGTACTTGAGTAATCTACGTGCGGGTGAAGTTTGAGTCTTCAACTGGTCCTTATTTCTCCTGGTTTAGGATCAGGCACCCTTTGTCATCATCTTTGTTTTATGGGTAAAATCCACAAAAACAAAAAACAAGTTTGTCCATTTCACAGGCTCATTAGTGTCTAAACTGAGCTTTGAGTCAAGGTCAGTATGACGCTGTACAATACCTGAGTCAAAACCTGCTTCCAATCCCTAAAATGATGGCAGGCCTGTGTCATGGCCTGGCAAGGGCCAGTCTTCTATTTGACTAACTTGTGTGAATATAGCTTTTTCCTTCTTGAACTTTCAAGAGCATGTATACCTAGGTGTCCCATAATTAGCTCAAACACTCAACAGCTCTGAAATATCCTTCTCTAAATTGTTTGTCTCTTGGATTACAACTTTTCAATTTATTTTTCCTATACTGCCACTAATATTTCCTGTTTTGTTTTATTTTTATCCTTAGGTTAGAACTATCTTTTTTACAACAGACTGCTTTGTTTTATTTTTATTTTTTTCCTTTTCTGTGCCTAAATCTAATTTGCCAGTGACTTAATCTAATGGAACAAATATTTCTTAAGCTTCTCATATGACATACATAATGTGCTAATGATGTAAAAATATAAAAGATCAGCTGAATAGATTCGTTTTGCTCTGGCATTTAGTATCTGAGACTACAGAAATGTTCAATAAATCTTTGTGAAATGAAAGGATGAAAGACACAATTTCTATCATGTTTAATTGTTGTTGTTATTGCTTTCCCCATGGAGAGGTTACTGTATTGCTGTGTTTTCTCTTTCCTACAATTTGATTCTAGTCCTGGCCTTTCAAATATGTTATGATTTTTGCAGAGCCTTCTCAGTTAGTTTACCCCCAACCTCTACTCTCATTAAGTCACCTTGTTTAAAAACCTTTCTTTCAACATGTTTCCTTCAAAGATTTACTAGGTGTTTCCAGCCTTACTTGGCTTTCAGAGGTGGCATCATAGAGATGAAAGAGCAAAGGGGTAATTATTGGCACATGTTAGGTCCCAGCTAAGCAAAGGGAAAGGATGCCATTGAAAATGCTACAAGTTGGTCAGAGACTCAAAAAGTGAGGTCTGACAGAGGTCAGGAATAAAGGACCTGCTGTTGGGATCAGCCTTGAGCAAAAGGCTAAGGACCAGGCTTCCAAAGACATCACTTTGGTAGTGTTTAAACCAATTATGGCAAAGCTATTAAACCTTTAAGATTATGAATGGTGATTCAGAGTTTAATTGGATAGGATACAGATCCCAAAACTTTTTATTATAATATGAGGTATAAAAGGTAAGATTCACAGACAAAAAACAGAAGCATGTGGAATATAAGTAGTTGAGAGTGGTGGCTAGATTACACTGGAAGGTTTTATACGAGACATAAGAAAAAGGGAAATCTTTGAAAAAATAAAATTTTTTCTATTTAGAAATTTTTCCTAAATTCAACTGTCTCCTTATTCCTATCTATCAATACTTAACACCACACACACACACACAGACACACACACACACACACACACACACACACACACAGAGTGACAAAGTACAATGCTAAATCAAGTTCAAAATTTATTAGGCTTTTAAGCGAGGCTTAATAAATGAATGGGCTAAATTGTATAGAATGAGGAACCTGGAAAAATGAAAGAAGTAAAAGAAAGTTTTAAAAATTAAAAAAAAGCCGGGCTCGGTGGCTCCGCCTGTAATCCCGCGCCTTTAGGAGGCTGAGGTGAGTGGATTGCCTGAGCCCGCGGGTTCGAGACCTGCCTGGGCAGGCAAGACTTCATCTCTACAATAAAATTAAAAAATTAGCCGGGCATGGTAGCGCACACCTGTAATTCTGGCTACTCTGAAGGCTGAGGCGGAAGGATCGCCGGAGCCCAGCAGGTCGAGGCCACAGTGCCTGGGAGCGGCCGCTGCACTCCAGTCTGGGTGACAGAGACTCCAACTCAAAAAAAAAGAAAGAAAGAAAAAATTTTTTTAATTATTTTTACTTTAAAAAGTTCATTGTTCAAATGACTATGCATTGAATATTAAAATGAGGAAAAGAAGACAAATAAGTATAAAGATGGCATTTCTGTCAATTCAGTACTTATCAGACTTGAGAATTTCTCTTCTGGAACCGTGTCTTTCTCAGTAGATATTTATTCTTTTTTTTTTTTTTATTACAGTGATGCTGAACTTCCAATAGCTAATCATAATACTGCATTGAGTGGTTCTAAATTACACTGAAAACCTTGGTTACTCAGGAAGCCATGATCTTAAAGTGTAGCTCAATCAATCCACATACATTCATAAGCCTTTTTCATCTTGTATAGGTCTAGACATAGTGTGTCTAAAAGAAAAACTGAAATTTATGTGTGTTGCAATCTGCTCGCTGGAATTTAGGAAAATGCCTGATTTGAAAAGATAGGCTGAGTTGAGGACTGGCCAGCTGGCTGATAGCACAACCAATGAGGTCAATGCCAACCATTTTTGTGTAAATGGGATAAACATGTACTGATAATTTGAACAAATATTGATTTTTATGAGTCTTTGTAGATGAGAAAAT